CTATGTGTACTTTAAAAACAATTATTTTTCTGCCACTATTCTGAGTGCATTTGCTTTGCTATCAGCATATACTGGAATGCTTTTATTAGTTGTAATTCAGCAAGTTTCTTCTTTGTTTGTTCTTATCTTTCATGTTTGTTGCTTGCAATAGTGTGCTGATTTCTGCAGCTTGTAATGCAGTTCTGATTTTTTTTTTTTTTGCCTGAAATAAGGTTGTGTAACACATGGTTCTGACCTCAATTTGAAACTACAGTGGATGAAGCAGGGATTATTTCTTGAGTTAAATTCTGTCTGAAGTATGGGTTATGAGAGAACTGGAAATGCTCTGTAGGACTTAAATTTCCTGTTAGAATACAGGTATAGCTTTCAAAATATGACAGTTAATAATACAATGGTTTTGACAAGCAAAAGAAAAAAAGGCCTTTTTCACCTATAAGAGCTGCTAAACAATTAAGCAATTTTTATTTTCTGTAGTATGATGTTATCTATCTGCTTGTTTAAACTATAGTTAATACCAGATTATTGTTAATGTCATTCTGAGGTTCTGCTTGGCTTTGTACAATTGAAACATTGAGGTTCTGCTTGGCTTTGTACAATTACAGGTTGCAAAGAAAGCAGAACTGAATTTTGGCTTGGCAGTTGAAAATAATTTGTCTTCATTTTTGATTGTGTAACTTCCCTGTATTGATGACTTCACAAGGCAAGGAGATGAGATGCTTATCTCTACTGTTAGAGATAAGCATACTTACCTAATGAGAATGAGTACTGTATTTTTATTGTTTTCAGGTGCATCTTCCCTCTTTAGCTTTCACTTTTCTGGCATAAGAATGAAGAAATCTGAATCAGACCATCTGAAGCAAAGCATTTTATGCAGCCTTGTAAAAACCCAAGTAGGGTTTGCAGTATGAGCTCTGTGTGGTGAGATGAGTATTGATTTTTCTGCTTAAGTGATACAAACTATTTTAAGTCAAGCTAAAAAATATAGTGCAGAATCCTGCCATTATGTATTATTCTCTAACAACATTTGTGAACTGGAGCTGCTGTAAATTTATAAGAAAAAAAATTGTTTATGTCCAATAAATAACCATTTTAGATGTTATTTATTTAGTGGCGTTTACTTTGGAGAAATCAGTGGTAATAAATGAGAGTTAATTCAGGAAACTGTTTGAGATTGTCTTTTTATGCAGTTTGCTAAAATTAAAATAATATTTGTTCAAATATTATTAGTGTTGCATCACAGCACTGGCTATAGTTTATGAAATTACTGAAGACTCAAGGCATTTGCTGAACTAAACCATAGCCATTTAATTTTGATATACTTTAAGCAGTTTAAATGGGGAAAGTACGACTTAAAAAGGTGACTGTTTCTCTCTTCTTTTTTCAGGAGTAACTTAAGAGAAGCCTCACCATTACTGGTCTCAGCACAGACTAAGGGTAAGTCAAGTGTACCATGGAGTGGGAAGGTGCAGGCAATAGGCCAGCAGAAGTATGGGGAGAGTTTAGCCTTTGGCTTTTAGAGTTCTGTCTTGATTGTGAAAATGTGCTTGAATTTAGCTCAAGTTTGGTTAAAATGATCTTGTCCTGCCTGACCTGAAATTTGTCCAATTTGTTTAGAGCCCTTGTCAATGTACAAAATATATTGTCTTTTGCAGAAGCCTTGGAGCTTTCCCTGAAATTCTGGGCTGGCTGCTGCCTGTCTTCCAGCTGTGAACCAGCCATGGGGGCTCCAGACCTGCAGCACTGAACCCCCAAGTTCCTGCAACTGAGCTGGGTTTTACAGGTCAGCCTTGGCACTGTGCTGCTATTTTACAACAGATTCATGCTTGGCTCAAGTGCACAAAGAATGGTTTAGTTACAAAAGATTTTGAAAGCAATCCATGTAATAGTCTGAATGTATGGAATAATGTTATCCTGTAGCTGAATTTAGAGGAAAAAACCCACTCACTTCTACAGCATGAGCTAATGTTTATTATTAGTGCACAAATGAAGTGACAATTAAGTCCAGAGTAAATAAAATCAATCTGAGATCTGGACCTCAGGTGATCTACTAGGTAATGGTGCACTGATGGTGCACGATTCTCATCTGGCTGTGTTTTATGTGCTCTTTGCAGAGGTATCAGTGAACACCTAGTGTGTTAAATACTGGTCACTCAGGCTTTGGAATGCAGTTCTCCTCACTAAACTGCCTCCAGGTTTTGCAAAATCATTTAAGTCTGTATCCATGTCCTTTTTAGAGACTCCATCAGTGACCTGCTCCATGGAATGGTTCTTGGCAGTGCCAGCTCTTGTGCACGATTAAAAAAGAAAACTGATCCAGATGAATGTGCTTACAACAGGCACTGCAAAATCAGCTGAATCCTTTCTGGGTAATATTAGATGTGATGTTCAGATAGGTGGAAGTAAATTCCATTACTAGTTTATAAATCATTCTATGTATTATTATTAAAAGTTTTCCCATCAAAAATACTGATAGTTTATTTGCAAAAGAAAATGCTGCTCTGCATCTTTTACATTTGTGGGTTTGGAATAGAACAGGATAAGTGCTTAGCAGGCTCTGCTTATTTTCTGGAAATGTTTATACAAAGGGCCAGTCATTGATTATATCCCCCTTACTATACTATTGATACCAATGCTAAAATCTGTATTGATCAGAGTTTCCACAGGATTTAATCTCCACTGAATTTGTGTGGCAGATCTGGGATAACAGTTGAAGAAAAACCTCTCCCTCCTCCTCTGCCAGGCAGAAGGGCAGGTATTTAATAAGCTATGTCACTGATAAAACTAAGCTGGTACCTGTATGTCTGTATCTTTATTAGAGAACATTTTTCTTTTATCCTTAATTTTCATAGTGCGGTTACAGATTTGTATTCACACTGAGTGAGCATTAAATTTACAACTTTCATCACCACAGAATCATTACAGCTGGAAAAGACCTTCAGCCATGGCAAATCACTATATGGAGAAAAAGAAAATAAAAAAAAATTCCAGTTACTGAAAAAGTTGCTGCCAGATTATGCTCCGTCTTGAGAGTCTGTAGTGGTGCTTTGAAAAGAAAAATAATCAGAGTAAGATTACAGAAGTTCATTTCATTATTCCTGTTGTGTGACAATTTGCTTTTAGAGCGTATGTCTATAATAATGTAGTCTCATGATTTGAAAAAGGCAGCAGGAATTGTGCTTTCAACTATCTAGTGTGATGAAACCAGCACAGGAAAAACTATGAATCCCTGAGTCACCATTTTAAAAATTAGGAATGGTTTTATTTTTATTATCTTACGCAAATTTGTTACCAAGATCTGTAGGGATGTGTGGGCACAAAGGCTGGGAAACAAAACTGGTTCAAGCCATCAACCTTCTTTAGAGACAGTGGAGATCATTGTGTTGGATAATTTGGGTATTCCTACTGAATGTGATCCTGCACCAACAGGAATAAAGGAAGTATCAAGGAGCATAAGACACTTTTACAGAGCCATTATCACAGAATCAGGGAATCACTGAATCTGGAAGAGACCTCCATGATCATGAAGTCCAACCTCAGGCTTTCTGTTTGTGTGTAGAGTTAACTCCCCCTTTTCACCAATCAGGCTAATTTTTGCTCTTCAGTTTCTTAGAATATCTGCAGCTTAGCCATGGTGCATGAGAAACTATTTTAACCTGTGTAAAAGTAAGCCTGTTGGCTGATTCTTGTAGTCATTACAATAAAACCAAGCATCCAATTCTATCTACAGTCATAGATAATAAACGATATATACTTTCTTTACATTTACAATATTATTTTTTCCTTACAATAGTCTTTTTTCTTTTTTTCTCCTAAAATTATATCCAACTGTCTACTGATTATGGATTGGCAATGTGAAAAAAAATAGGCCAAATATCAATCTAATTATATTCCAGAGAAGCTTCTGATCTGCAGACAGGCTTATTTTAACTAAAAGTTAATGATGCAGTTATAGCTGTGAGGCTGGAGATCATAATAGATGAGGATTTAGTTCTTTTAAATGAGGCATTAAAGGATAATGAAAAGTTTTGAGTCACTTTTCCTTAAGTTTAATTCCCAGTGGCTACATTTCTAACAATACTGGTGTGCAAATATAGGCATGGTAATGTGTGCACAGAAATGAATACAGACCTCAGGCTGAAATCAGGATGAAAATCAGAAAATTAAATTTGTGATTCAGGATGAATAAAAGATCACTACTTATGGCTACAAATTACCTATATTTTTCCTCCTGAAGCTACAATGAAGGTCTGTATTAAAGAAAAGTAAAATAAGAAGTAACAATTTCCTGCTGGAATCCATATTGCTAATTTTTTTGCCTACATGTAAGAGTTTTATACCTATTTTCTTATTTGTAATATATGAGTTACTAACAGAGATTTCAGTTTTAATATGGAAACAGCTTAAGAAAGCATTCCTCAGAAATAATCTTGGGGCAAGCTGCAAAACTCATGTTTCATGCTGTTTATACTGAGAGTAACACTGTACTTTAGAAGTAAAAGCAATTGATTTCCAGCTTTACCGGCCAATTAAAACTTTCTGATTCTTATGAGCTGGAGCAGGGTACTTCATTATATCAGTAAATTGTATTCTTTCCCAAAGACATGAAGTTGCAGGCAGGTCATCAGAAGAAAAGATTACTATTATGAACAAATTTGCAGTTTTCAGAATGAAGAAAATATTCATCTTGGAAAATGATGTGTGCAGTGCTTCTAGAAATAAGCCTGGTGTTCAGTTTGCACCCAGAGCTCAGGAATTGTTCTTCTGTGCAGGCAGAAGCCCCTAAAGGAACTGCCCCAGGTAAGCCCCAGCAACAGCATTCGAGAAGGGGTAACATCAATAACATCACATGGGCAAATTTGTGTCAACTCTAAAAAAGAGTTTACTGGGGAGTAGAGAATAGGAGGGTTAATAGGGGGTAGAGAATGTAATCTGCAATCAATAATTTAGAACATTTAAAATACAATAGGATGCATTTTTTGTGTCCCTTACAGATCACTTACTCTGAGACGTTTGTGTGGATATAAACTTCTTTATCAAGGTGTCGGTAGTCTGTGTGTAAAGGCTGAGAGCGTATTTGAGGGACTGCAGGTCTGGACTCTTCTCCAGGAAATTCTTTTTTAGCCCACTTCCTCCAGCGTGGAAGTATTGCTAAAATGAAAAACAAATACGGTTGTTCACAGAGAAAACATAAATGCTTCAGTTAGAGACATACAACTTTAAATAAAATTCTTAAATAAATGTTTGGAAGTAGCAACAGGCATGTCTAGATTTATAATAGCATTTCAGACTACAGTCATAATCTCTAGTACAAAGCTTCTTTCCAAGGGTAAAAAATAATAGGGGAAGAAAACAATATACAAAATTTTGATTTTGATCTTCATGATCTGAAGTAATAATTTGCCAATTAGAAAATATTTGAAGCATTCTTTTAGGTTGCAGAAAGTGGAATGAGTTTGGAAAAGGATAAATTTCAGAGTGAATACTCCAGAGTGTGAAGTTTTTGAATAGCAGTGTGAGAAGAGGACTTTAGGTTCTAGTGGCACAGCTAGATTTGGAAAAACAAATATGCTTATGACTTTGATGCCATGCTGACTATGTGAACTAAATATATAAAAACTGTATATATAAATGTATTATATTATATGTTCAATCCCAAAACTGAGTTCAGAAAAATTAGGGGACAGATTCTTCCCTTTTTCCTCCCACAATGAAGAATTTTTCCTAAAGTTTTGTACAGGACAGTGTTTGATGAATTGATTCATGTTAGCCACAATGAAAAGATAAATGTGCTACATACCTTCATTTTGTTCAAACACCTTGCAAAGCATTTTGCAACCTCCATTACAGTTCTAGGTCTCAAGATCAATAAAGCTCCCATTAATGGCTAATTAGTAAAAATAAAAAATGCTTTTCAGGAACACAATGACTGCTTGATGAGATGCAATACTGGTCCACTCTGTACAGGATGTCTTGGGGACTGTAAGCAGAATTTACTCTCCCTGCCTTTTTGCAGTGCTGCCAAAGGAATAAATGCAATATCTACATTCCAGTTCACATACACACATCTCCTCTAAATGCTGTATCCCAGCTTATCTGGACAGCTCAGACCTACAGTCCACATATGCCCTTTGCATTTAGTTCACACATTTCACCTTCCAGTTCTCAAGATTCTGCAGGAGATGAAACATAAATATTTCATAACACTTATTATTTACAGTTCTGCATTGCTGTCTACTAACTGTTAAAGGGAAAACATATCTGTAGGAGTAAAACAGAAGTCATCAGGCTGCAATATTTTATAGTGTTAGTTTAAAAAGTTCTGAATAAATCTATCTTCTCATCATTAAATACTTATATAAAATGTGTATCTTTTCAAGCAAATTATTTCATACAATATGTTCCAAAAAATCTCCCATCTTAATTGCTCAAGAGTTTAAAAATGATTTCACTAAGACTCATAATCAATTTATACGCAAGTGTTAAAATCTGTTAATATTTCCTACTATTGTGGCAATTACAGTGATTTTTTTGAAGTTGTCTCAGTAAAATGTTATCTACAGCAGCACTTACTGGCTGAAATCTCCATGAAAGCTAATAGTCATATAACAAAACAAAGACACCTGACCCTTGATTTCCTGAGTTTTTAACTATTTTTTTTTGTTTTTCCTATAAAGGGTAAATTTTGCAAGCAAACCAACAATTGAACCTATTATTACTGTATGGAACTGAATACAGAAAGATGACCAACAAACAGGGTTTTACAGATTCAGCTGGATCTGTTCCTTAGAGATGGAAAACTTAAAATAATTCCCCTGCTACTCTGCTCCTCTCTGTAGGTTTGTATGTGGCACAAGAGATTTCAAAGTCACTCTGACAAATGAAAGGGGCAGATGCCAAGAGCTGGAGTCACTGCTGGAGGCTCAGCCCAAAGCTGCCCAATGGCACAGAAAGCCTTTGGGTGCTGGCTTCTCTTTGCAGAGGGTGTCTGGGTGTACAGTGGGAACTGCACAGTGTTAGCAATGGACATGGTCTCTGGGCTGACACAATGAGGTAGCAGAGAACTCAGTCCGAGAGGCCAGAATACTACTTCTCCTAACTGTAAACTGGAAATTAAGCTGAAAAATATGAGATAGTTATATAAATTGCTATGGTTCTTTTTTATATAATATAAAGATTTATGATATGCTATATATATTCAAGATTATATTTGTCAAATAATTAATAAAGCTGTCTACTATTAAATTATGATTATTTCTTAGTGAATTAAATGAAAGGAAAAACAGAAAACACTCTAAGTAGAGATATTCCTCCCTACAAAACCCTCCCTTACCATAAGCAGCTACCCAATTTCTGAACACTCACCACATGCCATTTTTACCATTCTCCTATTCTTATCTGGGGCAGCCATGATTATTTCTTGTAAATAAACTGCATTTACTAAACACTACCAAAAAGATTCTGTATTTTGATCATTACACTTAAGAACTACATTCCTAAATAAACTTAGCAATCTTTTTCACTTGAGTTAAATCATGAAGTTTGCCTTTTTTCACTTTCTACCAGTATAAGCCAAATTTCTACATGAGCAAGTTTATTTGTTAAGTATTTTGGAAATGATTTTGCCATATTAGCTTGTAAGTACAGCAGGCAGTTATAATGCACGGTCATTGCCTTACAATTTGAAAAGTGTTTCTCAGGAAGCATTCTTTAGCTCAGTTAATGAATGTTATGAATTAACTGTTATAATTTAGCACACAGATATAAGGATGCTGAATTACCAAATGGATTTTCCATATTTAATCTTTTCCCTCCAAATCTAGACATTTTTAGTAAAATGGTCAACACCTATCTCTTAATCTGTAAGAGTTTAAGGCCTGGAAATTTAGGCAAGGTTAGAATTTACATTCTTCCCAGCTTTTATGTGTTTAGAAAATTATTAGATTCACATACTTCATGCAGCTTACTGTAGGAGCATACTTCATATTTTTCAATTTTTCAATTTGCAATTGGTTCCCACATCATTACTAATTCCCAATTATTTTTATTTCTGAAAGAAATGTCAGTTCCACTACAAATACAAAAAATGGCAACTGGGAGCCCTCTCTGTTACTTTTTGCTTGTCTTGGAGACTGTTTTATTGCAGAACACTTGATCATAAGTATTTCCTTTTATTTATATCTTCAATTTTATACTTCAGTAGCTGCCTCCTTACCTTCCTGATGTGCTTTCTCTTCCCAGCAGGCAAGAAAATATGCTGTTATCCTAGAAACTGATTGCTTTTAAGTTATTTACACCAAATAATGATCCAGGCCAATGTGGAAAAGACTGATAAGCAAATTAAATAATATGTTAATTAATAATCTAATAAATATTCCTAATGACTTCTTTTGACTTCAGAAACCGACTCCATGAAGACTGTATGCAAGTCTCCATACAGTCTCTTTTATCCAAAAACCAATCAGCCATTGCTGGGCATTCAGCAGGGAGCAGAAAAAGAGCTGAGGCTGTACCTTTATAGTAACGAGTGCCACGTCCATTATTGCACACTGCCTCAGGGTCAGGCTTTTGGCTTCCTCTCGGATCACGTGGTCCTGCAAAGCAACAGAACACTGCAGTTGGTTTTGAAAGAGACACAATATTGTGAATATCTGTTCTTTGCAAAACAAACAAACATCCACCAAATGCCCTCCAAGGACTATGATTAACAGGGATTAATTCAGAATCCTTTCACAACAAATTATAACCTAGAGCAATTGTGTTGCTTCTTGAAAACACAGACTGTAGAGAACCAGACTCACTGGTTAATACTGAGCATTACTTCTTTTCATAGGATGTATTATTTCTCTGTTATGGGGGATGGGGGAAAGGTTAAAATTTAACTGAAAATAATTATATGACATATAAGTAGTTAATTTTAATAATAAACCTGACAGTTTAGCAAATGTTTGTTAATGCCCTATGTTTAGAAAAAAAAAGAGAGTTTTCTCTTGGAATATGTTAGACATCGAGTGACCACACTCCTGTTAAATCTTTGTCTAAACAAGCAGTCAGTGATTAACTTAGGCAATATTTTAACTTCTCTAGCAAACTGAACAATCATCCATAGAGGGCCCAAATACACAGTTCTGTACAAATCTGAAATCGTAATTGCAGCATTTACTGTCAAACAACTGACATCAGTATCAAGCATCTCTGCTGTCCATCAAGAAGATTCCAGCACTGAGTTGCTGAAGACTTTACTATGTTTCAATGCACCTAAACAGTCCACAGAAAGAAAATTGCTGGTATTCTCACCTTAAGGGCTTTTCCAGAAGCAAAGGGATTTTTTTGGTGGGATGTGTAACGCTCATAAGGCCTGGTTGTGCAATATGGGAATGATGGCTTCTTGACCCATGTAGTGATCACTTACCACATAAGCACAGAGTCTTCTATTCATAGTGTGGTTTTGATGAAACTGTACAATAATTATTCACCTCTGAGTAGTTACTGCCATATTCAATTATACCACATACAAACAAGAATGAGGCATGAGGTTTGGCCTCAGTCATTAATATTTCCTCCTTTTTTTGTTAGTGCAAGCCAGCCACAGCTTCATCTGGCTCCATTACCTTGAGTTTTGACAGTTGTCCAAGATCTTTGGCTGCACTGAATATCATCTGGGGCCCCTGTAATCACATTGAAAATTAAGGAAACGGACTCACGACAGCATGTTTGCCTTTTATGTCAACACAATCTTATTTTCTGCTAGGACATTGGCCAAAGTCACCGTTTTGCAAAGCTAAATAAAAGTTTCAGTTGCACAGGAGACACATTTTCATTCAGTTGATAATGCCTGCAGCAAGATTGCCTCCAGTATTCTATAGCTGATACAAATATTGCACTTTCTGCTGAGAGTGGCTTTGTGTTCTCCTTTCTGCTGTTTCATTTTGTGTTTAATACTGAAAGCTAAGACTGTGATTGTTCTCAGTGTGTGTCAGTGAGATGTTTATCCATAACTGCAGCTCTCAGGTGCTGTGCTAACATGAACAATCATACTGGGAAGTGAGCAGACCTGAGGAACCTGCAAAATCCTATCTAGGGGGAATCCTCAGCTGAGTAAAGCACAATGTACTGTGAGCCAGAGCCTTTTTTAAAAGAAAAAGATATTGAAATGTTATGAAGTTCAAGCAGTATTTTACAATAGCCAAATCCTGGCATGACACCAAAGGCCAATGCCTACACATTTGTCTCAGACAAACTGAATCCTACTGTAATTCTATGCTCACATCCTTTATCACAATTACTCCAAGCAACATAACTACCAGTGCAGTTACATGGCAGCTCAACAAAATGTAGTTCTGATTATGTGGATTTCAGAAAAAAGGTTCATCCAACTTACACTGGACTAATTTTTCATTAGACTTTCTGTTCCAAAGAGTTTAATTTTCCAGAAATAATTTTGCTTCCTATATGCTTCAATTGAAGAAAATGTAATATAGAACTGCAGTTTAAATCTTCATTATTTTTTAGTAGCAAGAATGGTAAGATAAATACGTATATATATATATATATATGAATGAAAAAATAAACCTTGTTTCTGAACGCCTGTGCCTCCCAACCTCAAACAAAAAGAAATATTCAGGGCTAGAAAAATCTCTCACAGTATCCTACTTTTCAGTGATTTTCTTTAATTATGTGTTCAGTAGTAAACAAAAGTATCAAAATAAAAGGAATAGTTCACAATGCCTACTGGAAACACTCTATATAGAGGATACCACTAAGGAAACTCCCCTCTGAACTGACTGTCCTATGAATAATTGATCCTACATAAAGTATATAAATGCTCCTAACACATGATGGAAAATGCAGTTACCCAATTGAAACGCTATCTATTGTATTTGCAGATAAAATTCACACCAATAAGTTTGAAAAGCAAATTAAAGATCTCAGAAATGTAAATTCAAAACTTATTGAAAGAGAGGTTGCTTCTAATTATGCATAGTTAGCAAGGTCATGACAGCAAATATGAACAAATTCAGTGGCTGGAGTCCTGGCCATGATCAGCTCTACTCTAGAATTTTTAATAGTTCAGGTAATTTCATTTTTATCTCTGCACCATTTATACATTTTCTATTAGAGCCTTTCCTGCCTGTCCAGCAATAATCTTTTATGCATCTTCAATATATTAGAATAAGATTTAATGATATGCCTTTAATTTATGGTCCCTGACCAACAGCTTTTTAGCAGCTGAAGTGTACCATAGGATGTGTAACAGCAAAGTTGCCAAAGGCATACTGTGGCAATATCATTATTAGCTTGTCCTAAAATGGTCAGTTTATTTCAAACAAGATTGAAAACAAGAAGAATTAACAGTTATTTTATTCCAATCCCTCAAACAAAGAAAAAAAAAAAAGCAAAAAAAGCAGTTATGAGAAGGCCCCCCAAGCCAGACTCTCTTTGGTGATCCTTTGACAGGATGATTTCACTGCTGCCCTCAGCTCAGCCAGCAGGGTTCACATCAGGCCATGCCCCACAAGGGCTCCTGTGCAGCACCACTGGGTAAGTACAGCTCCTTTCCCTCTGCTTGGCAGGCTGGAAATGCAGCTCTGCCCAAAGAGGAGTTCCTGTCAAGGCTGCTATTAAAATCCCCCAAATCTTTAGTGCTATATTTGGCTGAAGCTTCATGATATTAATTAAGTGCTGCCTCAAGATGAAGAATGGCACAGCAGGCAGGGCTGGAGGATGGGATGGGCATCCTTGGCTTTCTCAAACCTACAAAAATGGAACTGATTAAATTTCTGATGTGACTAGGAAGGGCAAGGAGCCCTCTTCATGTTACTGTGCACAGTGAAGCTGAGAGAGAAATCAGATTTAAATTAAACCCCTTGTATGAGAGCACATGACTGCATTCTTTCATATGAGTGCATTCATAAAAAGTGCTCTGATTTGGAGCAGGCAGTAAATGAAGGAGTGAGTCTTCCTCACCACCTAAGAGCAAGCTGGCTGCACAACTCTGAGACACCAGAGAGCAACACTGCCTGCAGTGCAGGTGTTACTCCTTGTGGTCAGGGTGCAGAACAGGGTAGTGTCAGACCCCTTGGCAACACCTGCTCAGGCACATTATTACAGTCCTTTATTATAAACTGAGAATTGCTCTGGAACACTTACAGTTTGGTCTGTCAGTGGTGGAAGCACAATTTGTTTTTCTATCTTGTTTAAGACTAACTTCCAGAGCTCTTTCAAAACCCGTTTCAGAACTGTCTTCTCACAGATTTTTGCAGAGACACTCAAACTGGAATAAAAAAAAACCACAAACCAGTCACCAAACAAGCATTAAGGCTTCAGAGGTGCTCAATCATGCTCAGATTAATAGCCATTAAGGTTTATCTCTTCTCTAGTAATAAAAATTTCTCAGTAGCTAAATTATTTTGCAATATTATCAGTAAATATTTTTGGTAAAAAGACTTGCAGATTACAAACTCATATAAATTTCCACTATCTAATGTAATGCTTAGTATATCACTGATGCATATTTATTGAAAATGCAAAATCATAATGAGTTATAAAGTTTGATGGATGATACAATTTAGCACTCCCACACCCCTAAATTAAAGTTTTAGTATATAATTTGTTTATGTCTTAAAAATAAAGAGGAACTGTCTCTCTTGTTTTGTATTTCTACTGGGATGTAGAACTGGATTCTGACAGCTAATGCAAATTTGCAGCTACTGTTTGAACGCATTTATTTCTATATACTGACATGTCTGAGCAATCTTGCTATCTATTACCTACAGTAAAATTAAATTTTTAGGGCACCTTTTCCATCTTCACTTTGAAGATTTCTGGCTGGGGAAAACGCAGATAAGGAACCAAAGGGGTGTGTAGCTTGTGACTGGAGACCTGGAGTACAGGATCAGTGCCAGGCTGCTTGTCCTCACAGCCACTTCCAGCAAAAGGCCACTGGTGGTTGACAAGCACCAATGACACCAATGTGCTTACAGACGTGCCTGTGCTGCCTTTCAGAATGTGTCACTGCTGAATGATGACAGCATAAATTATCCTTACTTACAGAACTCAGAATGAGTTTGCAGGATCCTCTCAAAACTTAGCATTCTACCAAATGAAAAAAGAAAATCAAGCTTCTGTTTAGATGATGACCTGGTTTTTGGTGACACAGAAGTGCATATCAATAAGCAGTGAGACATTGGGTACAAGCCTACAACAAATTCCAGACAATTTCAGTATAGGAATTACTTTTGTCCTTTTGTTCAGCACAATCTTCATAACACAGCCTGTGGAGAGACACCATGCACTGGCTCATTTTCAATGACTCAAAACATGACAAGACATGGAAAAACAAGCCTGCAGCTTATGCAAAAATTGTTCAGTGTAAGTGAAGAGGTTAGGCACAGGATTCTGCACACAGTGAATACTAGAAATATTAAAAATACTATAGAGTGCTTCCAGGTATCCACAGTGCTTCAGCGTAATACCAAATGTGCCTGACCGCAGCATCCAGTTCCCAGCCTGCCACACAATCCAGCCTGCACACTTACGTTTTGTCCAGGGAATCCATGAGAGGCCGAAGCACAATCTCAGCATCAATGGCTGCACTGTTCTTATTGGCTGCTGCATTCCCATTTCCTCTCATTTGATTCAGCTCATTGCTCATTTGTTTTACACAATCTTCGATAACAAACTGGAAACTATAGGATGACAAAAAAAAGAATGAAAGAATTCTGGGAGAGAAAACAATAAGGATGATTTTGCATCAGGTTCTTCAATAAGACTTAAATATTTTCTGCAATGATGCAATGCTCAAATTTGAAGATACTATGGTGTTACAGTCTGAAAATAAGTTCTACTGAAAATCATAGCTCATAAATAATTAATGCTGTGTTTTGATCTCTTCCCCTGCCTTGCTTCCATTCTGCCACAATTTCCATAGCTTTGTAGGTATGCCAAATATTTATTTTCTAAAGCAACAGATGTATCAGAATCTATAGCTTATATATGATTGACTACCAGTTAGGAACAACTTCTCAAGATTTTATTTTTGATGTGTAAGGATGATACAACAAGGAGGTGATGATACATAATTTTTCTTCTGATGGTTAATAGCAACCAAGCTTTGATATTCCTCTAGAGGTAAAATCAAAAACTCCTACTGATTCTGCCCTGTTTGGCTCAATTTGACTTTTTCCAGATTTCCCACAGTCAGTGCCTTCAGAAGGTTTGTTACTTCTCTGCAACTACACAGCATTAAAACACTTGGACTGTTTAAAATATCCTTTTGCAAAAAAACCCCCTTGCTTTGAAACACTCAGATTCTTCCTCCTGGGAGAAATCTTTTTCACTTCAAGGTGACTGTGAACACATCCTTCCGCCTCAAGTTTGTATCTGCTCAGCTTTTCTGAAAACCATTCTGTTTCCTAACTGATCTGGTTGAGTGTCTGACAGTCTTAAAGTGCTATTGATGTGATAATCTTTGGACAACATATTGACACAAAGCAGAATAGCAGTTAATCAGTCACCAGCTCAGAGGCATGAAGAGTCTACTGTGCACACACAGTAATTTGTTTTATGGGTTGATTTGTGATGGATCAAAGTGGTTTAGGATTAGTTTATGAACAGAAATGCAAAATAGAGGCCAAAAATCTATGGGGTCTGTTAAGCTGAAAAGATAACTGGCAAAGATTAACTTGAGGAAAGCAAAACATAATTTACTGTGAGAGTAAAGAAACAATCAGTTGTTCCAGTGACATGGCTAATTGTAAAAAGAGAACACAAACCTCCATGTGAAATCACTGGAAAAATCAGAAACTTTTCCAAATGCACTTAGAAGTACACTTGCCTACACACTTTAAAGCCCTAGACAAAATCAACATGAGGCAGCTGTGAAACTGCTCATGGAAATTCTTGGGACCAGTCCCTCCCTCCAACAAAAGCCAAAATAATGCATTGCCTTTCTTGACGTTAGACATCTTTCCAACATTGTTAACCTCACAGACCCAAGCAGTAAACTAACCCATGAGGAATGTTCTAGCTGTCTGAAGCATATCCTACACTGAGCTGTTCTGGGTTTGCTGTTGCAGAAACCTAGTTGGCTCATTCAGAAAGAAGCCCTGGAAAGAAATAATATTCATGCACTGTCAATGATCCGAGAAGCAGAGCCTGGGAGCAAAAGTACAGCAAGACAATACAGCAAACTAAGCACAGAGAAAAAAACAGACTGTCCACCCACACTGCCCATCAATGGATTAAATAAGCAACTACAAACTTTGCTTAACGAGTACCACTAATCCCTCTTCCTTAGATTTCTTTCTAACTTGAAGTAAAAGTAACTTGCTACTTCTTGTACCACAACCACTGCTGGCACAGCACCATACATATTCAGGACTGCAGTGTGCACTCTGATTAATGAAAGGTTTTGAGAGTAAGGCTCAATAGACAATTTTTGAAGAGCCACAGGCAAGCAAATGACCCAAGAAGGCCATGCACAATGACCACCTGAAGCAGGTTAAACACAGGCAGATGTGCCTGGTTGAAGCAGCCCACTTGGAAAAAGCTGTCAGTCTCAGGAAGTAAAATAAACATGGTCAGAGAGGAAAGTTTAACATAGCATCAGGCAAAAAAACCCAGTGACTTTGCTTTCCAAAAAGCAGAAATAAGCCATCAGCCTCACCTCTGTAACATGTTCATGCCCACAGATGATGTTCAGTTGTCTTTACAGCAAGGTTGCTGTTATTTCTTTCAGAGTCTAAACACACACACACACACACACACACACACACACACACACACACACACACACAGAAATGCACACCAGTCCATCAGGGCAGAAGCAAGCCATGCCTCAGGACATCCAAATAACCACCCAGACTTCATCAATGAGGGAGATTTTTTGAACAGGAATATTCCTCTAAGGTTTGCAGAAAATGGGTTTGTTACCTTGCAGCATATGTTACACTGAGTTCATCCAATACATTGCTAAGTTTCACCTGAAGTTCTTTTAGAACAACACTAGCTTCAGCATCCAGCTGCAAAGAAATAAATAACATTATATTTCATTTATACACTAGTTTTCTGGGGTTTCCATTACAATCAAGGAATTAGGAATTATGTGCAAAGATACACTGCAGTATAGAAAACCAAATGTGGAAACACCTGTTGCAACACAGACTTGCTTTAGTAGGCCTTGAAATACAATTACCATTAAAATAAATTAAAAAAAAAATTGATTACAGCAGGGAATATTTATATCAGAAATCAAAACTGTGCCATTGAAAAATGACTTTCTGTGGGATTGTGGAAACTGTGTTGGCAGTCACAAAGGAGAGAGCTGCCATTATCAGGCCAGTAGTATTCAACAAGACACACCAAGAGAAGGATGCAGGAAAAGTCAGTGCTCGTGTTAATAGTAATGCAGATGCCTTCATTATTTTTGTACATTTCACTATGGTTGGTATTTTGTTTTGTGATTTGCATTGAAATTGTTTCCATATTTCATATGTTTCCATAATGCAGTGTAAAATTAGAACAGCCAGGACTGAAAAAAATTCTTGAAGAATATCCATGCCAATTCTACTGACAGAGGATATGGGAAGGGACTCTACCAAATTTCAGTACTGCTCTTTCTAAAAGCCATTAGGGCAAATAAAATTCAAGCAGAGAGCAACACATTCTGATGCTCTGATACAGGTTTTCTAAACATAGGAAGAAAAATTAATGCAGGGGAGAAATACATTTTTACATTTCCAGGGATAAGGATACATGCACAGATATTTAATCAAAAAGGTACCCTATTGGTATTGATTTATTTATTGACTTGTTAATTTGCTATGGATGCTTTTTCAAATAAGAAATAATAGGGTTTTTTTTCCCCTGATCTTTAGCATTCAGGAAAAATAGTTACAGCCCATTCTGGGATATGACAGATGATCATCAGGATCAACAGCTGAATTTGAATTAATAGCTGATGTTCCAGGTCTTTCAGCTGTCTACATCACAGTGTTAAGGAATGATTTCAAATGATAACCCTTAATTTGTGGACTCTGTTCTGCAGCAAGGTCAGGTACAGACCTTCTGACAATTTCAAAGGACACTGCACATTTAGAATACATAATCAGGGCTGTTTCTATTTGTGTTTTTCTGTCTTTCAACTGCATGAGTAGTGTTTGGTGCTTATTTTTCCTCTGGTGCTTCAGAGCACTCTGGTGCAGCAGGTCAGTTCTTTTAATCTCACTTCAGAGACAAGGGGAAGTTGTTGCACCACACTTGATAATTTACTTGAGACTCCACAGGAATTCTACAGCAAAACAAACTGAAATAGATCCAATGATCTACTGTGTTTTAATCTTAGACCATCCTTTATCTCCTTAGAGGTTATGTGTGGGTCAAAATAATAGAAAACCCAAGATTTTCACTACAGGTTTTGACAAGAACCTGAAATAGGTGATAAGGGGGAATTGCCACATTGCTTTAGAAGGTACTCAGGGTTATGTAGTTATTTTCCAACATGAGAAGCTCATATGTTACTTATTACTATAAGTACTTACTGTGACTACTTACTGATTTAGTTTTGAATTACTTTGCATTGAGAGAATTTCTGTTGCTTCTGTATATGTTAGTAATGTCCCTGACAGATATACTTTGACAGTTCATACACTTAAAGTGATTGCTTTCCTTCATATGAAGAGCAGGAATTAAAAAGCTAATTTTACTGCAATGTCTTTATTAGTAAACAAATTAAGACTTTGCTATCAAAGGCAAAGATTTTTCCAGGAAATGCATATCACTAGGGAATTATACTGTCTCCTCTGGAGGGATACATACACACCCCAAATTAAAGACCTCTAGAATATAAACATTAACAAACACTGAACACACAAGCATTCACACTGAACACGATACATGTCAAGGAAAACACAAAATAACAGGCAAGCAGAAGATCATGCACAAACTAAGAGAATCACCTTGATACCCGGCCTATAGAGGTCAATGTAGTTACTTTCTATCACAGGTTGTGGTGATAACCAGAAAACACAAAGTATCTGCTAAATTCACCTGGAATTGAATTTAGTCCAGCTAAAATTGGATTAAATGCTAAAGCCAGATTGTGGATATTACACACATTATAGAAGGGTGCATGCAACTGTTAAACATTTTAGAGACTTTGTGCTCACAAATTGCAGGAACAAGTTTGTGTGTGCACAGCTGGAGGCATCTGGCAGGACCCCCAGCCCTGTGTGTGCACATGCTCATGCCCGTCGATGAGGTGGCACAGGGAGTTGACACAAAGAGGTATGCGGGCTGCCCGGGCAGGTGTGCCACACCTGGCCATCCTGCCATCACTGAGAAGATGTCAGCAAGAGTTGTAAATGCTACTTCTCTCTAGGTACTGGAAAATATGGTGATTTGGGTGTCTCACCAGAAGTAAAATGTGCACTTTTCATTTTTTTTATCATGTGCCTTCTATGTGCTAATGATTTGCCCTCAGGCATCATCCAAATGTGCCAGAGCATGACCTCTTCCTCTTCCTGATATGGCAGAGCTAAGATGGGAGCATGGAAGTGAGAGGCAATGCTGATCAGCATCCGAGATGATGTCACAGAGGGAGATACAGACATGAAAATGAAGTATTTATGGTACTGGGGACTTCTCTTTTTCCTCTTCATTTGCTTCATAGAGTTTGGTGAAGGAGGAATGAAAACTAACAAAATTCCCTAAACATATTTCAGGAAAATAAAAGAAAAAAGCTCTACTTGAGCCTGATTATTTTGGGAAGAAAAAAATAAATCCCAGCCATGAATGTCATTAGTGTACCATATCAAATTTAAGCAACAAAAGAGAAAAGACAACACATTTATCCCTTGGACAATTGTATTCTGGATTCCATCTACAGTTCCCAGCATGTGTGGCCTAACCTTAAAATACATCGGGGTAGGTTGCTCAGGTTTCAAAATAAAGGAGCAAGCTTATTTCATTAATAATGTGCAAATTATTCTTTTAAATCAATTCTTAATATTCTTGGCTTTTCTAGGCTCGCATTTATGTTATTTTATCATGATCTTAAATAGCAGAATTAATTTTTACCCACAAGAGAATATACTCATAAATCTAGGCACACTACATAAGATGTATTGATTATGCATTATCAAAGAGATAATTAGTAATTTGACTTTTTCTGAATGCTACACAAAAACTGAGAACACATTTGCTGAACAGCTGAGAAAATAAGAAATAGTTGAACATCATAGTTTCCAAATTCTGCCTATCTAAAGCCGCCAATTCTTTTATACAGACAAGCCTTGGAAAAGGGTTAAAAATCTGATGAGTTTGGCTGCTTTCAGTGTGTTAGATTGAGGTATTTTCCTGTTGTAATTTAATGTGTGCTAGTATGGACATAATCTTGTTAATGGCAAATTTGGTGGTGTTTCTGCAGGAAACTACAGAGATGCAAATTACTTTTGCATGAGTTAAATGGAACCTCTCTAATCTGAATCCCATTTATCTGCAATTTCACAGGTCTAATTACTTATGGTTTCCTAATGGGACCACCTGGTTACTTCTGTTCAGAAAATAGTTTTACATGTTTTCTGTATATCTGGCAAAGATACAGGTATTTATCAGCTCCATCACTTTAGTGGTTCCTTCTGTCTCTGACAGACATCTCCCTTCCTCCACCCACACCCTTGGGAGAGTGAGGTGTGAGATGGTTGGCTGCCACTGCTCTGAGTGCACAGAACTATTCTGCTGAAGTCTGGTCCTCTGACACACCATCAAAGACTTTAAGGCCACATATAGACTCCTACAGGAATTCCTAAGCTTCATATTTAAAGCTGGAATTGAATTTACCAAAGAGTTACTATGATTTATGTACAGTTAATATAATATTGTCATACGTAAACACCCCCCTTTTGCTTTACACCTCTGTTTTTGATCCTAATTACTGTAACTCATTTCTGCCATGTTCTGTCATCTGGTGTAAAGCAACACAAGCATTGGCTTCTCTTCTTTCTCTTTTATCAGTTTCTAGCTTGTCAGACAAAGAAATATTTAGTGTAAATATATTCATTCATTTTAGATGAAACAAACAGGAGCTAAACCAAAATTCTATGATGATGATCTGTTCCCATGTTTTTGGACTTGATTTACAAAGAACCAAATAAACAGTGGGTTGGATGCACTTTACTACTCTCTCTTATGGCAGACTGTTCTCATTGATATGATTTGTAAGCACCCTCCCTGCTTTGCCGCAGTAGAGGAGGACAGTTAATAAAGAAGCTCATCTTGTTCAGACTATTTTATTTTAATGGTAGGAGATCTGAGAAATCAGTTTTTTCTCTATTTATAGAGCTCCCTGCCTGCAATGTGCAATAAGCCTACTCTGAACAGAGGGACTGCTGCTTGATTGTGGTTATTTTGACTGCACAGTTTGAAAGACATACTGCTCACAGTGTGACACTGAGGAGATTAACAGCATTTAATTTTTCTTAGAATTAGTTTTGCTTCAACTGAAATAGGTCTCATTATTTTGCTGAAAATCATCTGACTTTTATGCCCTCCACAAGTGAAATATTAAACTGTTTTTTCCCTTCAAGGAAACTGCTTACAGATTTTATTGCTGGCTTTGTTTCTTATAAGTGCCAGTTCAATAAGCCAAATTGGCCATTAGCAGTTGTGCCTTTGGAATAGTGAGGGGAATAACTATTTGAACCGGAGGACAATCATTTTAGTGGCATCTTGATATGGGTTAAAAAAAATTGAACATGAATGTACTTTTCTTCAAGAAATTGCCCTAAAAGTCTGAATGTATTTTTAACAGCTTTTCTCTTAGACTGTGAATCAGAGATGTACTTAAGACACCTAATGAAGGGATTATGGAAAAATAGATCCAAAATGTCTCCGTGGGTTGCATGTTGCACCATATTTGTAGGAAATTCTGCTTTGATACTGTAACAACCTTAATAATTCATCCTCATTAACATCAAAAGGAACCAAAAAGCATGAGAAGTCATAAGAACTTCTGAAAGAAAATTGCTATGAAAAACTCATAATTTTAAAAAAAATTATTATATAAAGAATTAGGAGCGAATGAAAAACTAGTATTTTCTTGTGTAAAAGGGGACATTTTAGAGATTCAAGCAAATATTCTGGTTGAAAATAATTTGACAGAAATAGATATAAAATGTGGCTCAGCTTTCCTCTGCCCTTGTCATTATCCCAATTTATAGACATTTATCTGTTTTCATGAATCATGACATTTAAAATTAAGTTCAGATCCAAGACCTAATACAGAAGTACTTTGCCCAGAACACAAAAGCATGGGGAAAGATTACTTGTAATATTCAGAGAGAGAAAAGGGTATAATAAGAATCACAAAAGCAGCCACTTCTGGATGAATATATTTTTTCAAAGTTTGGTAGGAAATTTGCAGTGACAAGGCTGCAGAAGTTTATTTCCCGTTATCTCAGGAGGTATTTCTGCTGTGGCAGCTTCAAGGAGCTGTTCCTGGCTCAGCAGACCCTCCACACCCTGGAGTGACTCTGCAGGGTCATCTGGAGGCTTCAGTTCCTGGCATGGCATAGGGGACTCATCTCAGCTCTGTAGGGTCCTACTGTGGTTGTGGAAATATGAAATGCTGTGTTTTCCAGTTTTCTTCATTTAGTGTGGCCACACTAGATCAAAAGTTTAAGAATCTATCAAGCTACAGCCTCAAGAAGAAAAGGATGATGTATGCATAACTTACTTTTTAAAGCCAGCTACTGATAATATGGATAGGATATTCATGTTCTAAACATTGCTTCTCAAAAAGTAGACAGGATTTTTTCTGTGGCTTGAATATAGTTAATTTCTTCATCATGATTCAGAACAGTGAAAGACTACAGTCTGAAAGGTATTGAAGCACTGTTTACGTCCTTTTACTGTTGGACAGGACTTCAGGCTCTTTTACATCTTCTGATATGAAAAAGAGAGTAAAGCTGAGGATGTTTTGAACTGTTGAGTAACAGATCTTGGTGAAATGGTATCTTGAATACAAGCAGGCCCTCAGATACTGAAAAGTGCACTTAAAATGTTTTATAGATTTTTTTAAACTTTGAAAGGGTATTGCACTATCTGCGTAGTGAAACTTTTCAGTTTAGTGTCAACTGAATGCCCAAGCATAGCTCTTTTTTATTTTAGATCATAGGGAATTACACAGATGCATCAATGGAAATAAGTAGAAAATGTGACTGTTTTCAGCCTTAGAAAATATGGTCAGGAATAATAAAAGATGCTTACTATCACAAACCTCATAAGAGAATCTCTCTCCTTCTTTCTTCTGCTCAGTGGATTGCAAGTCAAAGGCATTAGACAAAGACAATGACACATTACAGACAAAACGTACCAATACAAAAAAAGCAAAGTATAGTCCAATTCAAACATTAAAATAAAGCTGGCACTACAGACTGCAACACAGAACACCCAGTGCTGATAAAAAAATTACAGATCATTAGCATGTGTCTGTGAAATAGTTATGTTATTCCAGTATTGTTAGGACAGTAAATAGGTCTTGCGGACTTTTTTTTAAAAGCATTTTGATTTTCTTTCCAAGTAGAAGTGAAAGCTTTGACTAGGTTGCAAACATGGTGCTAATGATCTCTAAGGAACTTTGAATGAACCAGGAAACAGATATGACTCACCTCCTTCCCTCCCATGGACTCAAACATTTTCTCAAGCTGGACTCTTAATTGCTGAATGTTGTTCATTAAGATACAGGCCTACAGAGAGAACATCAAACGTGAGACTGTGCACAACCAATTCTTCAGCAGCCCTACATTCATAGAATTAAAGAAACATTAAGGTTGGAAAAGATTTCTAAGACCATCTTCACGCATGCAACTCTTTAAATGACTCTTCTCTAGCCCACTAAGAACAGTGCTGCCCCACAGGGAACTGGATTCCATCTCCCCATCAGCTGGACAGGTTCCAGATTCCAGAATTTCACATCCTGAGCTATCCCAGGTAATTTCTAGTCACACCTACAACAGTTACATCTGGTGGATTAATGCACGTAGCACATCCTTGTCCAGTAGAGAGCAGAGGCAACAATTACCATGGTGCTTTGGCAGTGACAGCTGGCTGCAGGAAAGGGCTTGCCACACTGCTTGCTAGACCCAGTCTTTTCAGAAAACTGTGACAACACTGTAACCCAGATAATGGCTGATGCTTAAGTATTTAAATAAATCAAGAGGCAGTTTTGTTTATAACAGAATAATATTTTAGAAATATGCATTTTTGCATTACTTGAAAAATTAGTGAATAAATTAGGCAATAGAACTCTGTAATCATATTATTTTAGTCTAGAAATGTTGCTGTTTAAGCTAATTTTTTAAAGGCAGAATACTGTGCAAAAGACAGCAATTTCTGTATTCATATAAGGCTAAAAGTAAAACATCAATAAAAATAAGGAGCTAGTTACAAAAATCATGAAGAAAATCTATTACTAGAATCTTGTGTACATAGATGACTTAATACACTGGTTTGTTATGGTGCAGATGAAGCAATCGGACAACACTTACTAAAAGAACTGTGGCTGGCCAAGGCCAGTGTGCTCTAGTGTGTGATTGGATTCATTTAGACACTGAGGAAATGCATTTCAATAAAACAGGTATACTTTTTTCCAGACAACAAGGTGGTGATGGCATGATTACAGTGATTGATACTCATTTGTACCAGTCTAGTTAATAGCATGTTCCAATGTGGAGCTGAGGCATGATGAGCTCAATAACATGATTTAGCTTTAATTATTAATATATTACTGTCATAGGAATTTGGCGTCAGAGTCCTTCTCAACTGAAGAAGAAAAAGAAATTTGGTCAAACTTCTTACTACTTAGATTATTCCTTCCCAGTGAAGCATGCTGCTCATCCTCCTACAGAATGCAGCTGGCTTTTTATAGCGGAAATGTCACCTCTCTGCTCATCTCTTGAAAAATCCACAAACCCCACTTCTATTTGTCTATCTACCTTCTATTAATTTATAATCACTAAGATTGTATCCTCCTTTCCTGTACTATCTCCTGACTTCTAACAAATTAATTATTTTGGAAATTATCTGCAATAACACAAATCAATAATTATGAGAATTATGATTTGTGATGGAGGTATAAGTAGCTGAATATAACATCTTGTTCCTTTTGTTCCAAACAAATGCAAATGCCTTTGGCAATACACTGAAGCTATGAGAGAAACACTTCACAAGAAAGCCATTTCAAAGTTTCCTTTGAGGCTGGCTCAGGTGGCTCTTTCAGAGCCTAAGCCTACCTTGGCTCAATGAAAGCTTTGCTAATGTCAGGTAAAGAACATTACTTAAAAACATTCTCATTGTATTTCATTATCTCCTACCCTTCAGAATAGTCTGTGCAGTAGTTTATGGCAATCAGACAGATGCAACAAAGTGGGTGGCAAGTACAATACCAGCACCCACATTTGTTTGTAAATGCTGACAGGAGGTGGAAGATAAGAGGCTGTTTTTACATTAGATAAACACCTTTATGTAAAGCATCTTTGATATGCTTCTATTTGAACAGTTTGTATGCACATTTTGTAGGGTTTAGTAAGATAAGTAAAAGTGTTGACTTGAAAAAGAAGGCCAAATTCTAATTTGAATAATAAAAATATTCATTTTAGTATCTTCTATCAACTTTAATGCAGATGAACATTTATTGCAGCTGAAATTATCAGATCAAACAGACACAAGGACAGGGAGATCTGTGATGGGCTGAGGGCTGTACCATTGAAGGTGAACAGCCTGAGGATGGGGCTGCAGTTATTGATCGGACTGCAGATTGGTACAGCTAAACAAAACCCTATTAAATACAACAGACATGGTGCTATAATCTGCCTGCCATGGGAGAACTAGCTTTGACTGAATGTCAATGATATTGAAAAGCCAGTTCCCAAGAATGCTTTTCGTTGGTCTTGTTAAAGTATTGAAAATGTTTCCATTTGCTCAACAACATCCTTAGTGTCCATATCTCATTTATTTCTGAGTCCATGGCAATCTGGTTCTTCATTAGGGACTCCTCACTTTTCTGGCAGTGAGGCAACAAACCAGCACAATTTTCTCCTCCCCTCTGCAGGGGTAAAGCCCAGAGAGCAGCAGAAACCTCTGCAAACCCTCCCTGCACAGGGAGCTTAGAAACTCTCCAATGCACAAAGTGACACAGAGAGGCAAGGCAATGCCAAGTGAACACCCTAAACAAAGACCTTTTCTTCTCTTTGAGAAACAAGATGAAGATAGATTCACCATGTTCACCACAGTATTAGGCTGTTAACCATGGCACGTTTGTAGCCATCTTGTAATTATTTTATGACTTTAATACTGAAATTAACTAGAATTCTTAACTAATTTCACTTACTACAGCTTTTACACGTTGCTGTAAGCAGCTATGAAAACACACTGACCTCCCTCCATTCATGTTTTTTTTCATATAGAGAAGTTATTACATTTTCAATAAGTAACAGTAAGTCACAGGTAATTTCTGAGGCAGAAAAAAGCCACAGCTTCTTACTTACCACATTTTCTTTATCACAATAGGAGCTGAAGTAACTTGAAATAATTGCAGCATACTGAACGAGTACTTTGTTGATAGTCTAGAAGAGGAGAAGACTCTTAAATGGTGAATTTCATAATGTAAACCAAAAATAATAAAATAAAAGGTTTGTATAAAGGATAGGTTGTACAGGTGCTTGCACACACAGCATATTATATTTTTTACATATAATATAAACAATCCTGTGAGCACATTTTCAAATCCCTGCACAGCAGATGGTGGGTAGTTCTAATTGTAAAGCAATCTTCAATAGCAGAGATAGTTTAATTTTAGCAGTACTGTTTTTGAGAAGCATTGAAAACTCTACTCCTTGCAATGTACTACATAATTAATGGAACAGTAGCAAGCTCAAAAAATCCTCCAGGGTGACAATACTTAGATTAGAAATATAATGGAAATATAATACAGAAGGAGCACTGTTCAAAGCCTGGCAATATGAGTTACCTTAAAATAATCATGTAAATAAGAACCCTGCAAATGGAGAATTGTTGCAATCAAAGAACAGAATTAAAAGTAAATGTGAACTTTTCTAAAGCCAGCAGGACTGTAATGGAAATTCAGAGCTTGTGAGGAAATGTAACTATCCAAATAGAAAGCTGGCAGGGTTGAGTTTATCAAGCAGCAGGTGAATAACTACCACCTCAAGACTTCAAACAAAAATACTTTATTGCCACACCTTGATTTTTCTTCACTTGCACTGCCTAATTAGCTAATTGCACTTCACTGAAGGGCTCCATTAATAGAACTGCAATTGGTTCCTAGCAAGATAAGGATTGATGCATACATATATGTATAAAATGCATAAATGTGAAATTTCAGAGAGGCTAGAGCTTCTCAAACTGGCAAACCCTTTTGACAAAGTAGACAAAACCCAGCCTTAAACCACAGACAGCATGTCTTTCTTAGGATCCCAATCAGATAAAAAACACTGATTCTAAAAAGCATTGAAATCACTTAGCTTTTAAGTACATGGCAACACAGTGTCATTCTCTCTGAAGCTTAGTTGAGATGAATTCACTTTAATTTACCTTTGCAAATCTTCTCATTAAATGAGATAGTGCTTCTGGATTAGGACACTCCAATTTCCTAATAATTTCAAAGCTTTGATTGAGCTGTGTGAAGACATCAACCACAGAACAAGAGAAGAGGGCATGGTCTGATGTTTGCTGAAACTAGGGAGAAACATGCAAATGTTAATATTTGTTCAGAGATCAAAACTGTGTTCATTAATTTTTATACCTGAACTTCCTCCTAGAGTCATAAAAACTAATAAAGGGAAAAAAGTCTCCCTAGTATTACTAAGAAATGTGTTTTTTTCACTTTTCTGATACTTTTGAATATTTTAAAAATAAAACCAGATTTTTCTTTTATGACATCATAATCACATCATAGGTTAATGAAATGATACCATGGAATTAATTCTATGAGGATTTAGGCAGAGGGAATTAGAAGAGGAATTTCTCTATAAGGTTATCTCCCAAAAGTTGTTATCACTTGAAGTCTAAGAAGGATGTTGTTGGACTAAATGTAGTTCTGGTTTTGTAACAATATATGTCTTGATACTTTATTTATTCTCTTCTTTAAAAAGTAAAGGCTCACCCCATCTTTTTTGTCTCTTTCTAGTGCTCCATGAAGAAATTCCATTGACACATCCTCATTTTCATCCAGCCACTGTATGACAAATGGTTCAAACCACCTGAAAATTAAAACCAATTTAGGTAGATTTTAGAAAGATCCCAAGTGGAAAAATGTTATAATACCAAGCAGCTTGGCACCTTGTGTTTTTAGATCTGTTGTAATTGTTAAAGAATCCAACAACCCTAGAAAAATTTTTGTCAGCAAAATTCTGCAGCTACCAAAAGGCTATTCAGGCTTCAGTTTCACAACACTCTCCCTGGTGTATCCTGGTGATATAAAATTAGCAGTAGCCAATTCTCTACCAGTGAAGCATGGCATGTGTGCACCTTCTATCAATACTGGCTCTTTGGTAATATTTAATTTTATTTGTTTAAGAAATAATTTTATGTAACTTCATTTTAATATAAATCAGCTGTGTTTTATTTTTCCTTCATTTATTAAAAACATTGAAGCAATAACAGGTCTCAAACCATCTCAGCAAACCAGCAGACTTACAGAGGATTAAGAATAGCTCATATACACGGACAGGACTGAATACATTTATTGCAGGGAGACAAGTGAAAACAAAACCAGCAGCTGAGTATTAACCTGATCCAGTAAGAATGATTTCAGTAGTATATCCCATTAGCATTACAGCTTTACCCAAATTTAATTATAAAAAAGGGCAGGGACCTACAACTAATAGTGCTGCTGTTTCCCCATCTCATACCTTCCTCAGATGTTTTCTGACCAAAGCATTTTGTCATCTCTGAAGATCTGGAGTTACAACAACTGTAGAAATCTATGAAATAGTTAACTGCACATTTAATACCCGGACTATTTCACTTGATAGAATGAAGAATTAAATAGAAGGAAGTGAAAAAAGTAGTTGTTGGTGCTACACACCTTGAGATCTTGCACAAACATGAGCATAAATATTTGACCAAAATAAACCTTGCATGAAGCCCAGACTCATGGAAGCCTCCCCAAAACACTTACAGAGAGTATTCAGGCACTGCATCCTTGAAAGCAGAAAGCTCTCGCACATATTCATTATAAAACCATTTCACTTTGAAGTGCAAATTCATATAATCTGTGCTTTTGCATAATCGCTGCTTTTCATGTTCTGTAATACAGTGGAAATAAAAGCACTTAATAGTGTTCTAACAGTAAATAACATTCTTGTGCCTCAGCACACTGGTGACATAATAATACAGGACTTGCATTTTAAAGCATAATTGGTTTGATTTTTCTTGATGTAGTAATACCCACAGTTTCAATTTTCAGGATCTGAGTAACCTTAGGAAAAAGAAAACAAACCAAAGACCAAACCACAAAGTAGGCTTCTCCCCTCTCTTCACTCTAGTGAGGAAAAACCACAAATTTGTTGACTTCCTGTTCTTTAGATCCTTCTTTGATTGTCACAAAATTGTTAAGAAGCTTTTGTGTGTCAAGCTAGAAAAGACAACCATAGCTGTGTAATAGTCAGAGGAAGTAACAGCTATAAATGCCAGTCCTACAGGAATCTGTGAAACCTGCATTTATCAGAGCTAAGAAAAAGAAAGAGGAGAAAACTCCACAACTCTACAGCCATTGGATTTATGGCAAAAGTTGAAAAGATGGTTCAATAAAGTGTTTTTGAAATTTTTGAAATGGACTTCACCTTCTTAGTGTCCTCATGTTTTCCACATACTGAATATGCAGATGGAGGTGGGTGGCACAAGTCATGCAGCCACCTGTATCCACTTTTTGTATTTTTGAAGTCTGATTGAATTTGTTTGGAACAAATGTCCATCTTTCTTCCAGGATTTTGATCCTTGTTTTAACTTGTACGCTATGCTCTGCATTCTTCACCCAGCCACTGCAGAACTGGCCAACTCCACTCCTTCTCTCTTTATCCTTGCTCAAATCTTTCATTTCCTTCTCCCTCAGCATGAAACCAGGTATCCACAAGTTTTGGGTAGAATAATTATACCTTTGTTTACTGCTCACAGCTTCCTAAAATCTCCACAGATCTCATCTGTTTGAGATGTCACGTCACTTGCACATTCTTCCCTAGGCAAAACAGTAATTTCTTTTTCCAGCTCCCTTAAAAAATGACCTAATACAGGTGCTCAGCAGGAATAATGTTCTTGTGTAAATAGTAGGCCTTTAGAACTTACCAGTTTCAAACGTCTTTTTTACTCCTTACTTCTGCTTGCTTTGCAACACAGCATTATATAAATCTCATATATGTTTGGATGGGAACCTAATTTTCTGTAACAGCAGGAGCATCCCCTCCTCTGTCACACACTTGAACGTAGCATTGGATTCTCTGTCAGTGAAAATGCACCGTGAATGACATATTCTGTGTTTTCAGATCTAGCCAGGTACATTAGAAGGAAATTATTAGTTTTATTATTATGCCAAATCAGCACTCCAGTAACACACTGTGCCATCCAGCATGTTTCAGATGCATTTTATTATGCAGTGAGTTACTAAGTTTTGTGCAAACTGGCTTATGAAGTGCCCCTGTGGGCTTTCATTGCCTTTTTTGCATTGCAGTAGCATTTTCACCTTCACTGCCCTTCCATCACACTCAAGAAAAATCACTAAATCCATTTCTGTCTAAATACTGCATTTATTCATCTTCACGCTACTTGAGAGTAGGAAATCTCCCCGGCACTGTATCATTGTTACTAGCATTAAACAGGACCACAGAGAGAAAGATGTTTCCTTCTGTCATAGCTCTGAAGAATCTTTTCTTTTTTTTAGGTAGCAGGTTTTTCACAAACTAGTACAGAAAACTAGATGACAAAACATCTTCTCTATACAAGGTATTCTTACAAGGAGGTAGACCAGCCTTTCACTAACAACAATTATATTATTGCTATGAAATTCACTGCACATCTGCTGCTTAAGTCATTGTTAAAAATCTATCCTAGATTGCATCTCAAAAGAATGGAATTTTTGAAATGAATTTTCATTCATGCTTTTCATAAAAGTTTGCTATAGTACACAAACCAAGGAAATGCTTATTTCAATTTTAGAAATGAATCACTGCCACTAATTGGCAAACTTGTCCAGGAGGGTCAAACTTACATATACCATTCACTAATATTTTCTTTTTAAGGTTAAGCTTTATAACACATTAAAAATAAGAACAAAAGTAATTCAGGAATAATTGAACTTTTTCCTGCAGGCTTTTATGCCTTGTAGAGAATATTTAAAGAGCATCCCAGGATATTATTTCCAATTACATATATGTGAAAAATGCATCCAGAATCCCTGACATTAATGTATGAGAACATCAGCAAACACTTCACAGGACATATGAGGTCATTAGTATCCATGCACTCTACCTCTTCTGTTCATATAAACCAAAGAATGGAACAAACAGGTGCCCATATGAGTCAGCAGGGACATATTTAACAGGATAATAGATGGGTTTATCCATGGAAACCATGGATTTTGGTTACAAAGTGCAGCAACATCACTGTAGGTGTTCTGAATTTAGATTAAGATCAATAGATTGCTTCCTTAATTTCTGAACATCTTGCTCAAGCTAATGTAAATGTGAACCAGCACAGGATACCTGGATGCATTCTGGAAATCTCTGTCTATTTTCCTGGAAGGAAGGCTAGTGCCATGTTTCCCTATACAGACATATCCATTTTGGGCTTTCTAGAAGACAGATGTAGTAGCTGCACAATATAACTCTTTTTGAAAAACTCCACTCTTGCTTTGCAAAATTATTATCCAATTGAGTCAGTCTGCAACTGAACCTGCCAGTTGAGTGTAAATGTGCTCTCTGGAGAGATGATGGCAGAAATACCTGAACATTCTCATAACTGATTCTAGGTAAGGAAATCTCCAGTATAGCAAACCTAATGCTGATACTGTTTTTTATATTGTGCTGCTCCTTTTCTGACACGTTCCTTATAGTGCAGCATATCTTTGTAAGCATCTACTCATCTACTAAGTTTCATAAAGAGGTCATGTTCAAGTCCCATGCTGGCATATTGTGTATCACTATGTCATGCATCAATGAAAAAATACTGATAAGATTTTCTAAACTGTAACATTATAAATTTTATGGAGCACTTTAGGTGCTTTTAGAAATTACAGTTCCAGCAAGTGTAACTTTTATTACATTGTTGATGCCACTTGAGGGGGGAATATCTCCTTAGGGGTGATGCTGTAACAACGCATGTGCTTCCACAACAGACACTGTACCTGCAACCACAATGAAAACTGTATGGAATTGTTCCATCTCACTGCTACAAATCACAGAGATGGGAACCCCCTTAAGGAGACCTTCAGTAAGCAACAGCACTGAACAAAAACAGTAAAATCTGCTCCAATGTTATTTGCATACCCAAGAATGAAGAGATTGCTTTTAAAAGCTATTACAGGGAATGCATAAATATATGCAAAAGAACTTGGTGTGTGATGAAATCAGCACAGCCCTGATGATGCTGTCTTTGGCACATAATTTAATTGCAGGCAGCAGTTATTTTAGGGAAAAATTTATAAAGAAACATGATAGGAAAGATTATAATCCAAGGTACTTTCCTCATAGTCTTTGACGAAACAACAGTACTTTGGAATCATGTTTGAGTTTTTGTTCATTTTCCCAGCAATTGCTGAAAAAAGCTGAGAAGATTTTCTTAAAACAACAACTAAAAGTTATAAAGATGACTTACTAAGCAGAAATATCTACATGACACTAAGGAAAATATCACTAAACAAACTGGGATAGAATCTTGTTCACTACAGAATCCTTTTTACTTTTTAACCTTGAGGTAATAACATCACTCTGAGTTTTCATGTAATTTTTGATATGTATTAGTTGCTAAAAAAGGAAAAAAGGGTAATCTAAAAACCTTCATAAAAGATGAGCATGTTAAATATTCAGATAATCAAATTGATATTTTATTCAACTCTGATATTCCTTATTTGGGTCCAAAGCTCAGAGAATTTTTTTTTCTACAGCAGTTTCCAAGCTAATATTTTTTGTAAAAACATATAGTTAAGCTGCTTGAAGGATTCTAATAATATGGTTTTAAAGTATATTTCAAATCTTTACAAACAAGAACTGCAAGGAAATTAGTCTGTAAAAAATGAACAAATTATTACATACACATAACTAGATTTTTCTAAAAAATCAAACTTGTATAGTTTTCAGGTTTTATAAATAATGTTTCAGGGATTGATAACTACTATAAGGAATATTTTTGTGTAGCAAATTAATTACATCACAACTAGCTTGTTTGACTGACATATAATCTATTGCTTTACGTTTATTAAACAGAAATGGTTGAGACTAAGCATATAGGATTTGTGTTTGGATTAGCTGCAAATTTTCCCATCAAAACTCAGCTGTTATTCTCAATCATTGTGACATAATTCCATATTATTTGCAATAATTACCTACCAATCTTTCTACAGACTACCAGCTGCTATCTATTTCTTCCAGAACTGCTGTTTCAGAAAACCTGCTATTTCCAAACTCGCAGTCATATAATTGAGAAGGGTAATTGGGAACACAAAACTGAGTACAGCTAGAGGAAGCTAAGCTCCAGTAAGGAATGATATGGATGGTGTATGCATTGGTATTCCTCCCTGTGAATCACTGTGGAAACGTTACACTGAATGATGCACCTCTGTTATGGATAAAAGTAGAAGTTAATGTTCAATGCACCTGGTGCCACTGCAATTTCCCCACAATACAGGAGTGGTTGCTATGCCACAGCCTCTTTTATGCTTATAGTGCTCTAGATTTAATCCCATTACCACTGAAAGAAATCTGAAGCCTCCGATTGTTTGAATGCAAAAGCACACAGGCCACAAATAAATAAAAAATTTAACTCAAAGTTCATCACTGATTTAGAAGATAACATTATATTCTACTAGAATCTCATCCCAGGATTCTTGTACTTTGCTAAAGGCAATGGAAGTCACTGGTTATTAACTGAAATAGATAGTAGAACACAACTAATTGATAATCATGCATAATTTACATTGGTTTTTATGATGTGAAATACTACTGACCTTTCTGAAAGGGCTCTTTGTGTCAAGATGAATATAATAAACAAAACCCTGAAAAACTTCTGTCATTACCTCCTTTTTCAATTATATTTATCT